TTCCACATGGCAATCATGTCAAAAACCTGGCGAGTAAACAAGTTACTGAAAACGAGTTAATAAAAGATGAGAAATTGGATTTATTAGACTATTATGGTGTGATGGTTGAAATTCTCTCACTTCTCAATTAAGAAAAGGAGAACCATATGTTAGACTTCCATGTTAGTGTACATTTTACCTTAACAAGCATATCTTTCATGGCCACCACGATGATGCTTCCCAAGCAGGCCTGTGAATAATACACACAATTAATTTTACAAAAGTATACTTGACCAACTCATTCTGTCGCAACCATTCTCATGTTACGTATGTGACGAATAACGTCTTCAAAGATAGGCTCAAATAAAATACAACTATGTATATGTATTTGCAGTTACGTTGCTATTATTGTTGCGCCGCGATAATTGTACGACTATAAGTGTCTTTTTGCAAAATACAATTATGTGCAATTCAATATGGATAAAGTAAATGTTTTGAGTTGAATATACATATATCTGTGATTACGATCGAAATGAAATGTTTCTTTGGTACCTTAGGCAGCACTTCAAGTACAGGCCCTATGAAGAGCAACACCCAGAAGATGGCGAAGGCAGACACCAGGCCAGCGATCTGCGTCATGCCGCCAGCGCTCTCCTGGATCAGGACTCTGGTGATTGACGCCGCCATTGGTCCGCACGAGAAGAACGAACTGAAGATGTTGCCGATGCCCTGGAATAAATTCAAATTCAGGTCCGTCTGTGTTAAATGTTTAAATTTAAGACCAAATTCAATTTAATGACTTGAATTTTTCTACAAATCTTTCAGCGGCTGCAGGTGCGGAGTCAAAACCACACTCAACTTATTGTGCAATAATACTTTGCTTAATGAGTTATAATTGAATAAAGAAATTTTAAGCAGCATTCTCACCTTTATAATATGCGTTAACTGTATTGAACAATAAATGACATTCAAAATACGCTGTTTCTTTTTTCTTTTTCAAATTTTTTTCTCTGTAATAAATTATATTAAGAATTTTTTGTAAGGAATTCATTTGACAGCTTTCCACGTATGAAATCATAGTCGGGTAGCCAATTTACAGAAATACGTATTCTCGCTCCACCCTACGCTACTGGACAGCCACAACACCCAATAAACCCGGGTGGAAGTGGTACAACAATACTCCGTCAATAACTGGACTTCAACAGACTACAAATAATGAACTAGCGTTTTCTCACACTCCAGTTTATACATAATCTAATTCTAATTAATATTGAGGCATTTATCGTTTCTTGTGACCAGTTTTTGGATTCTATCGTCAAACAAGCTCTCCGCCTGAAAAGACAATTTTGCAAGGAATACTTGAGAATACCTTAGCTAATGTTTCCTGCATGAGATAGCAGGAAACATTAGCTAAGGACGGAATAGTGGCTCGTCTATTTTCTTTCGCTTTACAGTCTTCGTTTTGAATCAGGTCATTGGTAATGACTGAAGGTCTCCCACTTCGTCCCTCATCATGAATGTTTGTGCAACCAACTTTAAAGGCCCTAACCTACATCCGTACCTTTCCATCTCTCGTTAAGTTTCCGCCACACATTTCATTAATTTGGTGATTAAGATCAAGTGATTTCAAGCCTTGAGCACAGAGTAAAACATGTACTTCAGAGTTGAAAATAAGATAAGCTACACGGCGCACATGCGGTTAATTAACGGCGGCCGCAGCGCTGTGACGGCGTAATTTATAAATAGTCCTTACTGTAAAAACATGCTTAGCAGTTAGTATTTTAGCTCTGAACATACCATGGCATACAGCTCCTGGTTTGCATCAACTTCATAGTTGTGTTTGATGGCGAATATCTTGGCGAGGGAGAAGGATCCTGCGTACGCAATGATGGCAATGACAAGGCAGTCAACCGCCACGGCCGCCGCCAGGGAAAACGGCGGCATGGCGGGCATTGGCAACCTTTGGCAGTTATTCGTAATATTAGGTTTTGAATAGAAGAAAATTAAACTCCTAACAAAATAGGGAACCTTTTGCTTTAGCGGGCGAACGGACATTTTTTCGCGTTATTTGCATTATTGATTTTCCTGCTTGATTTGTCGCTTAATATGAGCCAGATACCCTTAGGGATTTCTAGTCGTAAAGCTTACGAAATAAATACACGCACGTACCCAGTAGGAATATCACCAACGATTTGAACATTGTATTTGGCGTTCAAGTCGACGCAGTAAGACACCGTTGTGCCGATGACGACTACGATCAACTCGATAGGAACAGGTATTCTCGTGAACTTGGCAAGACGCGGCTGCAAGAGCAAGAACAATTAAAGCATTATTTCAAAGTTGGATATTTTCAATTTCTTAGAATTTGCAGTGCACATCACTATTTTTTGCTTCTATACAATATATGATCTGATGATAACCTTACAAGAATTTCAGGGTATCAAACATCCATAACCGCCGTTCATGACATTGGTTGTTGTCAAGAGTGAGCGAATATCACAGTCGAAGGTGCCGACGGCATCTCCACCCTCTCAGCAGGCGATAGCTGAATAGTTCGTCAGGTATGAGCATTAGTGAAATTGCCCGTTTTTTCAACACACTAAGCAAGTTAAGGATAAAAATGTATTGACCTTCAACTGTTCGTTGTTGACTGAGAGCAAAAACATCGAAATAGCAGATATGATGACGGCCGCTACGTTGGCTGTGGGCAGTTTCTGGATGACGTCTAGCACAGTCTGAAAATTCGTAAACCGTTCATTACAGGAGTTATAAAAGATGGAAGAAATTTTTAAAATTTGATAATGTTTTAACAAAAATGTAAAATTTTGCGAAGCTACACAGTCTACACTTTAACATTAAAGTTAACACTACAATATAATATACATGACACCCGAACAGTATCAACTTATCGATTTGGTTTGCTTTTACAAATAAATCGGGACGTTTTCGTCCTGATGAAGGACTCACATAAATAATGTTACAAGGTCCCGAAAATCGAGTAACTTTGACGGCAAAAACGTCCTTTAGTTGGGACACTAAGACGTGTACTGCAGCTCCCGTACTGAAGCCCGATACCAACATGTCGTTGAAGAACACAGTCACCGAGCCCAAGCTGAGCAGACCCATCAGAACCTGCGGCACAGGAACACTAATTTATTCCAAAATCATACCACTGAAGAGAGGAGAACATAAAGTTAAAAATATTTAGTTATTTCTGACTAAATACCACAAAATAAGACCAAGCGAGTTTTTACATACGTAAGTACTGTGTTAACTTTTGCCGATAATGAGACCTAATTAAAAGTCAAGTTTATAAATAAAATATTTCGCTCGGAAATTCATTGATCTATCTGTAACAGTAAAATCTCTCGTAAATTGCCTGTAACTTTGAGTATCACGGATTATAAATGAAAAGACTGTGGGAGACAAAAATAGGCGCATAGCGCGCTAGATTGGGTAGGTTTTAGGTGCATATATTAGGCTGGATTAGGGTTGGGAAGTCAATTAAGTTGATGTAGTCTCTTTTTTTCCAATCGTGATGGACTCTTGTTCAGTATCAACTGTCATTGCGAGCATGTCCGTGTCGAAATTATCGAGGAGTTTGGAGATTAGGTAAATATTATGGCAGCATTTGTTGTTCATCTGACAGCAGTGCACGTTGTAACTAAATACCTTGAGTGGGATCTCGTTATCTGTGATGGAGTCGCTCACGAGGACTGAACTCACTAAAGATGTTATTGAGGATGACGTCTTGGTCTATGGCTCTATGTGGTTATAGATTTCTGTAAAAGTGAATCTGCTGCCAATAATCGCCATACCAGCGATATTATGTTATTGTATCTTTTGTGAGGACTGAGGGACCATTTTAATGGAGAATATTTGAATGTGGAGTGTTTCGTATGTATGGTCGTCAACTGTTTCTCAATGTTTGCGACTGTGTCATGGTTTCATTAGCGAATTTATATTCGTTTATTAGCGAGTGGTGACTATTCATGTTTCAATATATCAGAAAGTCGATTGCAATCGAAGAGTCTATCATCGAGAGCTCTAGACCGCATTTCTGCTTCGTCTTTTCGTCAACCAAATTTAGTGTGGTTATCTAACTTATAGGTAGTACTTGCATTGGATCTTTAAGTAGAGCTCCTAAATAGTTTGATGGGGATTAGTTAGTCGAGCCCGGGTTCAACGATGAATGATTCTTTAAATTTTTCGTCGATTATCTTTTCCTTATGGCCTTGGTCTTCGTTATGAGTCATGGGTAGCGAGGGCTCCGGGTCATTTTTCCGGTTGTCGTCTTTGGTTTATTGTTCTGCAAGTTTCGGTTGCGATCTTCAAAGATCGTCACTATCTATGAACTGCTCCTGAAGTCGAAGTCAGTCTCTAGAGTCCTGGTGTCCAGTTGATTGTGGAAAAATTTAAGATTTATCGTAATTTCGTAGTTGGCTTCCGTGATTTGAATAGGATGCTACAAAATCTCTACACTCCGGATGCGAGAGGTTGACGAGGTGGGCTCCGAATATTATTGTTGTCATTTATTGTTGCGTCCTATCGGCAATGTCAGGCTATGTTGTGAAATGTTTGTTTGTTGAATTGTTTATTTTTATACATCGACGTATGCTCGGTTGATTTGTTTTTGATTGTTTCTTGCTGTGACTATAGAGTTTGTTTTGTATTTATAGCTTGCGGCTAAAATGCTGTGGTGTTCGAGGCATTCTAGGCATTTTTTTGTGGAAGCTGATGCATTGGTGTATTGGACGATCTAACATTTTTTAGAACTTGTAACAAGTGAGTAGGTGAGTGTATAATGTTCATGTTTGATTTGTGATGGTATAATTTTTTTATTGTGCAGGTTTAAACAATTTGCGAGCATGCGTCAGGCTATAGTGGTGTTTTAGGTTATGTGATGTGTTTGATTTTATTGTTGTCATGTGCATCTATCCAGACTTATTATGTCATGATTTCGTCCGCAGTGTGGCTTCCATCGTCTCTGTCCAGTTGTCGAAAAAAATAATTCGTTTTGCTCTGAAGTCAGAGAGTATGATTGGCGTCAAGTAAAGTCGCGTTTGGTCGCGTTTATTTCGAGGTGAGTTTGTCAATGGTGGAGGCGTCATAGATCGCTGCTTAATAGTCAGTTGCACAATCATTCAGTCTGATGAGCAATTTGTGAAGTTATATAAAGTTCGTATGAATATCTTCTGTCGGTTAGATACGGATTAAGGTCTTGAGCGGTCACACGGGGTTAATGATTGATAAGTAGGTTTTAATTATTGATGAGGAGGTATTGATGATAATGAAGGAAGATGACGTGATGCATAAGAGGCAAGTCGATGTCGTGATGGGGGAGGGTTATGGCATTTCGCTTTCTGGGACAAGCCCGTCGCGTTCGGAGTATGATTAAAGGCATGGGGAAAGAGGGTTCGAAAAACACAGGTATTCGGTGATAGTATATGTTAATCGTAAAATATTACTTGACCTAAGATTTATTCGCTTTTATGTTCAATTATTTTGTCGAAGGACTTTATTCTTTTGTGATAATCGTAATGATTTGCTGTTGTCCGAGAATCAGTGCTGTCAACCTACGATACTATCGTTAAAGTAGAGACGGCTAGGCCGCCTTCTTGCGTAAGGAAGCTAGACATCTTAGAGGGAGATGTTCTATAAGAAGTCGATTATAACTTGTAGTCATGTTGTCAAAAGGTCAAACTCTTTATTAATATAATTTTATTAGGCGATAATACTTCTCATTGTATTGGGTAATGCTTAGTCAATGTTCATTTGTCTAGTCTATTAACGAACTGGTATCGACTCACGCGCTTGCAAGCTAATTATCCTCGAGAGTTATTCTGTCCTATATCAACTTTAACTTGTCATTATTTGACCAACGGATAATATGATGATTCCATTTCATTGTGATATATTATATTATCTATTTTTTTGCATATAGACGTTTTTATTAGCCTATTTCTTGTAAATTGTTAACGGGGTGTAGAGGTAAGCTCATTTTAGCTGAGTTACCCCTCACGGGAAAGTTGTGTGTGCTCAGTGTTACTGCGTTGGGGTGCACATGTTTCGACTCGAATTCAAGTAGTTAGTAGCCAGATCTGGGGCCATACTTTCAAAAAAAGTTAAGAGATCGTAAGTTCATCAGCCAATCATCGACGGCCTTTCAAGCAAAATCCACCAATCATAGACAAGAAAATAGAGCGTAAGTACTTACGTTCACTTAACGAGTTTTGAAAGTATGGCCCCTGGGCTTGCAAGAATAAACTCCACCGTAGTTTAGGAAATAACTCTTAATGAGTGCCTCTAACGGACTAGTAACGGCATAGGTGGAGTTCTTTGTTAGTTCCATTTGCTGGCAGCGCTTTGGTACGGCTAGATCCCGTGCCGAGCACTTTTCGTGTTGTGGGGGCTAATAACCTCTGCACTCGAGTATATTTGTCTGCTTCTGGTACAGCTTCTGCGGTACCGTTCGCGCCTCTCGTGTCGTGGGAGTTAACACCTTCCACGCGCGAGAGTAATCGGAACGTTGCAGTGTATTAGGGCTAGAACCCCTAGTCTCTGCGGCTGGTTGTTGGCATCTCGGTGCGGTTAGTTTCCGTACCGTTTGCGGCCCTTTTTTGTGATTTGGCAGTGCATTAGGGCTAGAACCCCTAGTCTCTGCGGTTCGTTGTCGGCATCTCGGTGCGGTTAGTTCCCGTACAATTTGCTGTCCGTTTTTGTGATTTGGCAGTGTATTAGGGCTCGAACCCCTAGTCTCTGCGGCTGGGCGTTGGCATCTCGGTGCGGCTAGTTCCCGTACCATTTGCTGTCCGTTTTGTGATTCGTTGCAGTGCATTAGGGCTAGAACCCCAAGTCTCTGCGGCTGATTGTTAGCATCTCGATGCGGTTAGTTCCCGTACCTTTTGCTGTCCATCTATGTGATTCTTTGCAGTGCATTAGGGCTAGAACCCCTAGTCTCTGCGGCAGGTTGTTGGCATCTCGGTGCGACTAGTTCCCTTACCATTTGCTATCCATTTTGTTATTCTTAGCTGTGTATTAGGACTCATACTGTGTGGTTTCTCGGCTGTTTGTCCTCCTGAAGTGTCAAGCCTTTTCCCTTGAACTTTTGGACTAAGACGAATAATAAATTGTGCACCTCGTATGAAGAACCCTGTAATTCGCCTGAAGATTACCAGTATACTACGAAAAGTTCCTTGTGTTTATTCCTCCTCTCTTTTAATGCCAAAAATTCCTAATTGCCAGCGCTACCTGATTTGGCCATGACAGGATAATGGGATACTAATAAAAGATATGAGAGCTGGATACGAATTATAAAGAAGCAATCAAGCTCGCGTCGTAGAATACTGAATGAGTTAGAAATCTTTCGACTTTTTGTCAAAAGTTTGCAAGGAAACGTTAATTGACTATTAGACATCGAATAGCTGCCACAACTCTATTAAACCGATTGCCAAAGAGAAGAAATAACACTCAATGATCAAGACTTCATCTAATAGTTCTTTCTGAATTGAAGAGTGAAGTAGTATAGAGCAATTGTGCAGCCAGGTCAAAATGAATGGTTTGCTGAGAGAGAACGCTAAAGATTAATGCAGTAAGTAATCTTATTTAATTATTATTCAAACATTTATTTATTATTTCAGATTTATTGTTGCATGATGAACATAACCACACGCCATCGATTTAATTAGATTCATTTGCCCTATCGAAAGTTATCAATTATGGTACATGTATAGGCAGGAAGATTATGATTGCGACAATTACAGTTAAATTTGCTTGAGCTGTATTATTTTTATGGAACCGTGCCGTAGAGAACTCTGGGCAGCAAGTGAAAGTCTTCTATAAGCTGTACAACCGATTTCACAATTCGTATCTATCTCTCAGTGAGAGAACTCATACCTTGACCGGACATTAAATGCAGCCGAACGCCAGCAGCGAACATAGTTATACAAGTTACTTTCCATGATTAATAAGAAGAGGTACACTAATTTTTCAAATATAACTAAACTGATTTTCATAACAAACGTATTAAAAGATAAACTTTTCACCTTAACAAAAATTAACAAGATTCGGATGTCACAAACGGGTGCTAACAATAAAGCTGGAAAATATTGGTATAAATATGGGCATTAACG